AAATTTATTTGTACTTTTTTTCTTTAGCTACTCTGGCTCCATTTGCCAAGGACCCTCTAGAAACCGACACAAACTCTTTAGATCCAGAAATGTTGTTTTTGCATATGTACACAATGGTGTGAAAGTTTTTGCCTTTTACTGATTTCTTATTTTTTTTGCATGTTTGTCACACTTTAATGTTTCAGATCATCAAACAAATGTAAATATTACTAAAAGATAATACAAGTATCATCATGTAGTTTTCAAACAAAGGTTTTTATTGTTAAGGAAAACAAAATAAAAAACTATATAGCCCCGTGTGAAAAAGTCTACACCTAATAACAGGTTGAGCCACCTTTAGCAGCAACAATTACAATCAAGCGTGTTCGTTAACTTGCAAGGAGTTTGTTACAGCTCTGTGGAGGAATTTTGACCCGCTCATCCTTGCACAATTGTTGTAATTCAGCCTCTTTGGAGGGTTTTGAGAATAAAACAACTTTTTAAGGTCATGTCAAAGCATCTCAATTGGATTCAGGTCAGGACTTTGACTAGGCCACTCCAAAGTCTTCATTTTGTTTTCTTAAAGGCAATAAGAAGTGGATTGCTGGTGTGCTTTGGATCATTGTCCTGCTGCAGAACCCAAGTTACTTCAGATGATCTAAAACACACATATATACAAACAGTTGAAGTCCAAATAACATTTTTAAATAGTGAGTGTAGGAGACAAGATATTAGTCTTAAAAACTAATTTCTGATAAGCAATTTATTTTGTTGTAGCTATAATGACAGTAGTACATACTTATTTAGCAAAATACTAGTTTTGAGCTATTTAAACCATTTGTACCTTAAAAAATGGAAAGACTTTTTTTTTAACTTTAGAATTTACTCCTCTTTATTTATTTATTTGTTTATTTATTTATTAATTTCTATTTTTTTATTTCTTCTTTAGCTGCTCTGGCTCCGTTTGCCAAGGACTCTTCAGAAACTGGCACAAACTCTTTAGATCCAGAAATTTCATTGGACTCGACGACCGCCACAATCAACCATGTCTCCCCACTTGACGAACAAAATAAAAATACTCCACAAACTGAAACCCTAAACGCACTAGAGGACGAAAACCAAGCAGTGACTGAATTCACCTGCGGAGATTCAGACTCGACAGCAGCAGCTAAAGACGCCATTGAAGAAACTCCACAGGAAACACAGCTCTTCCAGTCGGACGGGCTCATAGACGCCGGGCATGATGGGATACATCCGCTTTCAGCCCGAGTGCCTACAGTATCAGTGATGGACAGGTTGACTGAAATGCACGGCACAGAAGCGATCAGTTTTAGCTCTGCTTTGGCTGCTCAGGTAGCGGCACGTTCACATACGTTCACAAACATGCAGGAATGCACATATGAGGACTCAGACGAGGAAGAGGAAGCAACATCACAGCAGACCAGAGAAAGTGAGAACGACTGAAAAGGCAGGTTATTTATTTTCATCTATTCAGTTTGGTATTTATTGAGTTTGATTTCAGGTCACAGACGTCATTGGATGTAGCTGGTGTGTGTTTGGTTGTTTTCAAGTGTGTTTATTTGTGTGTTTGGGGAGGTTTGTGTTTACTCTGCTCCTCATGACTGCCCTCAGGTACAGACTAATACATGCTAGTAAACAAAATACAAACCAACAACTAAACATATTCTATGTACTCAAAAGTATCTGACTCTAACTCAAAAGTACATGTCAGGTTTTATTAACTGTAAATGAAGTTCTTAAACATACAGTTCTTAAACGGCAAGTTCCTAAAAATGCCTTAAAATTTGGTTAATCTCACAAATCAAATTTGACTCCAAAATTCAAATAGATATATAAAAATTAGCATAAAGAATACTCATACTCTGCCTCCAAATAAATGCCTCCAATAAATCTTTTGTTTTCTTTTTGTAGACATTTTTCAAATATACTGTGTATATTTCAAATTTCAACTAAAGTTTGGGTTTTTACATTTCCGTAATGAGAATATATTTCATTATTTTGCATTTTTGGTAATCAGAACAAAATTTCCTTTAACCTTATAGCGTGTGTGCGTGCGTGTGTGCGTGCGTGTGTGTGTGTGTGTGTGTGTGTGTGTGTGTGTGTGTGTGTGTGTGTGTGTGTGTGTGTGTGTGTGTGTGTGTGTGTGTGTGTGTGTGTGTGTGTGTGTGTGTGTGTGTGTGTGTGTTTTGCATTGCAGAAATGACAGTTTCTTTACATCATTATATCACTGATGAATTGATATCTTCTAAATTGAAGTATTTTTCCCCCTTACATATTTCACCTATTTTATTTTTGTGTTTTTTTCTAATGAGAATTTTGCCCTTCATTACACCACTAACATTTTTATAGATTTTTTTTTCCCATTGTGGTAATGAGACCCCCTCCCCCCACCCACCCCTTCCACACATTAAAGTAATAATTATTTTGTTAAGTAAATTCAAGTAAATAATGCGCACAATCCAATTAAATCTTCATCTTTTCAAAAAAAAAATAGGCAGATTTCCATTATGCAAAGTTCTATTAATATTGTTTTGTAACATTCATCCTGTTAACTACGACAAGTTAAAGCTAATTCTGTCGTCCTAGTGGCTGGCATGATGTCCTCAAAAAAGACTGCATCTCTCCAGCAGCGAAGCCTCCTTTCTGAACGTTTGTTTTTGTGAGGTCGTTCTTTAGAGAAATAAATAGATGCCCTCGTTTCATTTCTGCTTCATCAAACTTTGACACACACAACTGTTCACACGCAGCTGGAGTTTCATCACGGTGACCTTCACAAGGTTATTATTGTTTTAAAGTAAGTGACAAACATTTAAAATATATTTATCCATTAAAAACTCTACAGTAAAAATAGAAATAAACCTAATTTTTGTCAGGTACTTATTAAAATAACTTTTTTTTAATTAAGTAATGCTCAAGGCTGACATAGCCTTTCACATAAAACCATTTTTAAACTCAAATTCACTTTTAACACTGTGGGAAAAAGTACCAAGCAAACTTAAACTTGCCTTAAACACTTTCCCCTTGTAAGGACTGTTGCACTTTACGGTTAAATGTTATGAGACCTGGAATGTCATTGAGAAATGTTGCTAAAAAAGAGAGGAAAATCTCAGATATAATAATGTTTGTATGTAAATTATATGATGGTTTTCTTTGGTCCAATATTCCTGAGTTTCCCCCATGCATATGTGCATGATTTCAAACACTTGTCTTGGCCTGGCAGAGACTGTCTATGTGTGTTTGTCTTCACTCAGCACCAGTTTTGCCTTTTTTAAAGGGTTATATTTTTTTCCCTTCACTCCAAAAGTGTCAATCTTGCATTTCATTTGTGAAATAAAGTATATGTACAAATATGTGAGTTTGTCTTTAGTGGCTTCACACTAAAATATGACTTGTGTGAGCACAGAAACACGTGCAATTAAAGCAAAGTTACTGCCATCTACTGGACAATGTAGTAAAAAAAGGAAATAAATAATGATTAAAAAAACAATATATAGAGGGAGATATATATTATGGATGCTCCAATCAGGATTTTTGCAGCCGATATCTAGTACCTATTCCTTGTCATGGTGATTGCCCGATAACAAGTACCAAATCTGATGCTTCAAGCTTTATGTATCTTTGCCATTGCATAAAGCACATTTTCCCCTCTAAATAGGATACTTAAGTGGAGATCTCGATAAGAATTAAGATAATAAATTAAGAATGCTTCATATAATCCTATACATTTTTACTGCATATAATCTTAAACATGTCTCTTCTAAACATTTAATGTGGACAGAAGCAGCTTTACAGAAAATAATAGATAATATGTAGGGGAGACTCATGGAGCTTCCAGGAGAGGTCATACGGTTGGACACAAGATCGGGCTGATTGCTCTGCTCGCGTCCCAGCAGCTCAAAACACTGGATAAATAGTGTTGAAACAAAGAGATCTTTCCTCACGATGCCAATAAACTGTATAAACAGAGGTCGCACCACATCTGTATATATTTTAGCTGCTGTGATGCATATGCAGCAATCGCTTATGTCCTTACGCATCATTTACCGCCTCACATGTTGTAGTGCTGCTCTCCGTATAACTCAGGTACGCATGTGCGTCTTCCTCTGCTTGTAAACTCATAAACAAACACCTGCAATCGGTTCATAAAATAAGCCAGATTGGCAACTCATTAAATGTGATTATCGGCCGATGCCAATCCTCGGGCAATCGATCGGAGCATCCCTAATATACCAGTTGCTCATAATAAAAAGCATAATGACAATTATGAAATATTTTTAAATAATTTACTTTATCATTACTACAAGAAAATAAATATAGTAATAATATATAACTATTATGTATTATTCATATTATTATAAAATATTTTCAAATACAGAGCTACTATTATACTCTACACTCTATATAGGACTACGTTTTATGTCCTATACATTATGCATATTATTTATATAGTAATATTTATTCATTCACTGTTTATTTTAAAATTATAATAAAAATTCAATTAGTAGTCACTTATTTTATAGTATTTCATTGGTAACACAGTATTTCTTATCTGTAATAATTATTCTATTATTGTTTTACTGTAAAACATAACACAAACTAATTGCTTAAAAGTCTTGCTTACACATAGCAACGTCAGCATATGAATATGGAATTAATACTTTGCAAGTTAAAAAATAAACCTGCACTGTGAAGCACTTTCTCTGAATGGATTTCCCTCATTAATATTCCGCTCGTCACTTAAAAAAAACATTAGGGAACAAGGGTGATTTTTGACTATTAACTATATGCAATGACGTTAACACAATGAACCTATCGGATAGGCTAAGTAGCACGGCGCGCTCATCAGCTGGCGAATAAACGACTCTGTTAGCGAAGGCATGTTTATAAATATTAACTAAATCAGTTTTCTGGATTCTCAGAGCCAGCGCTTTCTAGGTAGGCTAATATTCATGAGCTGATTCTTCGCCATAGTAGGACTGTATGATTTCGCATTCCGCGTCATGCGACCAGCTGATTCGGCAGCTTTTCTCTGCACCTCCCACAATGCATCGGTCTCTGTCCACTCGAGTCCGCAGTCATGGAAGCGAACGGGCTGCCGGTGCCGCCGGTAATGGACACACTGATCGTTAACGGGGAACGAGAAGTCGAAGACCCAGCCAAGAAGAAAAAGAGGAAGAAGAAGAAAAACAAGTCAGTTGTTTCCGGTGAGCTTGTCATTCAGTAGTGAAGTGCTGAGGCCGCTGGATGTTTAAATATATATATATTTGTAAATCAGCTGTGCTTTAAATAGTCAGCTGTGAACTCAGATTAACTCGAGACAGAGCTGTATCTCTTTTAAATCGCTCTGTGTGTAGATTTAGGTGGTTGAATATCTTTGTGCTAAAAGAAAAAGTTTTTTCAACAGTAGTGATTTTTTTTATGCACTGGAAAATATTTAATAAAACAGTTTTTTATAATGGTACAACACTATAATATTATAAAATATTAAAATGTAGTCATTTATACATTTATTTGATATATATATATATATATATATATATATATATATATATATATATATATATATAAATTTTATTGTAGAAAAAACACTTGAAATTTAACATGAAAACTTTTTAAACTTTATTTTTATATAGCGCCTTTAAAAAGTAGCATCTCAAGGCACTTTACAGACATAAAATGTCCCACAGTAAAAGAAACCAGAATAAATGCAAAAAAAAAAGTAATAATACAAATTATTCAAAACCCATAACATAATAATAACGAATCAAAAAATTCTAAAAAAAAAAAAAAGAAGTCAAATACAATCAAATAAAATCTACTCTAAAAAGTAAGTTTTAAGTAAGCTAGATGATTCTAACATATTTAAGGATTCTGCATTGTGAATATCAGAGGGTAAAGACATAATTATACAATTTTAACTTCTTTTATAAAGATTGTACAGTTTTGAGAACCTAAAGAAGTTTTGTAAACTTTTTAAATTCATTTTTCTGTTAATGTTTAAGAAAATATAATTGTATGTTAAAGTTTTACAATGTTTTGTTTATTTTCTATTTATTAATATGTGATTATTTGTTGTATATGCTTTTTTTATTTCTACATTTTTCTATATTACATTTAGGTTGTTTGGAGATACTAATTGTTTTTTTTAAATGTAGTTTTATTTTTACATCGTGCACTTTTAACTTTATTATGCATTTATGTTTTTTATGTAATATTTTATTTTAAAGTTGTTCATATATACAGAATAACATAGATTGCATATCTAGACACGCCAATCTGATCTGCAATCATAATATCAGTATTTTTTAGAATACTGTAAACTACATTCATAAAAAATAATGTTATATTTTAAATATATTTATTTATAAAAATGTTATATTACATATATTTTTTTGTATTTGTATTCTATAATTAATTTATTAGAGGTCAACAAAGTTTTGAGCATTTCAAGATCAACCACAAAATATAACCCTAATAGACAATTAATTAACCATATTTCTTTGCCTAACGCATCCCAAAAAATATACTAAAGTTGGCAGCTGGCTAATGTTTGATGCTAACATGGCCAGAAATGCCATTTACTTAGGCTGGTAGCCATAAAGAATGAGTTTAAATCAATCTTATTACTTCATATTTCCTTTGAATTTAATTGAAAGTTTACTCAAAAATGAAAATGTGGGAAACCGGTACTGTACTATACAGGTAAAAAGCTACTATAGAAGTGAATGGAAGTTTTCAACATTCTTCAAAATATCTTATTTTTTTTGTTCAATAAGAGAGACTCAAGGTTTGGAACAAATGAGCAAATAAAGGCACAATTTAATATATTTTTTGGAGTGTACTATCTCTTTAAATACCACATTTTTGATAAGGATTTTAATTTTAGTGTAGTGTAGATTCTACACGTTTCTGCTCTGCATTTCCTCCTTGTGCTGCTCAGTATGTACTTGCATCATCAGGTCTAAAGTGTCGCCCTACCAAGGTTATATGATGCTGCAGATTGAGCCAGGTTTGCTTTCCTATAGATCCACTATATGAGATGAAGTTATGGACACTTTCCAAACTGACAGCAGTTACTCACTTCCTGAGACACACACACACACATTGTTAGAGGCTGCAGCTTGTGATGCATCTGGCACATTTAGCACTTACTTTGCTTATGTGCTTGTTCACCTCTGTGTGTGTGTGTGTGTGTGTGTGTGACTTTGCAGCAGGACACAGCGAGCAGGTTGATGATGGCGAGCTGGAGGTGAAGAAACCACTAGAACAGCAGAACCTGGAGGAGAAAGAGAGAGAAGAGGATGGAGAAGAAGGTATTGTGCTGGCGAGGGCACACTTCAAGATTGCACACTCTTTTTTTTTTTTTACTGCATAAATGATCTATTATAATGCTTTACTGGCCTCATTTGCTCCCACTTTGTGTGTATGATGTATTGCAGATAAGGTTTTGCAGTACATAATATATGCACTATAATATATTTATGCATTACTATAAATACTATATATATTTATATAACCCCCCTGTTAATTTTTTCCCCCAATTTCCATTTAATGTAGGGAAGATTTTTTTCAACACAATTTTAAACACAATAGCTTTAATAGCTAATTTCTAATAACTGATTTATTTTATATTTGCCGTGATGAAAGTCAATAATATTTGTAAATAAATAGTCAATAAATAATATTTGACTAGATATTTTTCAAGACACTTCTATACAGCTTAAAGTGACATTTAAAGGCTTAACTAGGTTAATTAGGTTAACTAGGCAGGTTAGGATAATTAGGCAAGTTATTGTATCTCGATGGTTTGGTGTAGACTATTGAAAATATATAGCTTAAAGGGGCTAATAATTTTGACCTTGAAATGGTTTTTAAAAAATCAAAACCTGCTTTTATTCTAGCCGACATAAAACAAATAAGACTTCTCACAGAAGAAAAAATATTATCAGACATACTGTAAAAAATCCATTGCTCTGTTGAACATCATTTAAAAAAGAAACAAAAATTCAAAGGGGGCCTAATAATTCTGACCTTTACTGTATATATATATTTAATTATATCTACTGTATATAATATACTATATATTTTATATATACTATATATATTTACTACTAATATTTATAATATGTATAATATGTCAAGGTCATGGCACAACAGCCTAGCTTAATCCTTTCGAAATACCGTAATTATATTTTAATAAAGACTTTCGCACCCTTAAAAATGTACAGTGTAATTACTGTGTAAAATGAATTTATTTCATTATTTGTTTTGAATTATTTGTTTATTTTAAGTACTTTTTATGTTTTCCTTTCATTCCTTTAAAATGTTTTGACTAGTTTCAAGCTTATAATAACATATAATTAGATTACCAATATAAAATAAATCTCTGTTGCATATTCAACACATTTACTCACATTTGGTTTCTACCATTTTATTTATATTTTCATTAATATTTAAGTGATTTTGTTGTGATTTTTGTTCCATATATAATTGTCACGAACATATTTAAAAAAAAAATTTATTGGTTTACATGCTATACTAAATAAAATTTAGTAAACTATATTTAAATATATATTTATACAGTTGAAGTCAGAATTATTAGCCCCCCTGTTTATTTTTTCCCCAATTTCTGTTTAACAGGGAGAAAAAAAATTCAACACATTTCTAAACATAATAATTTTAATAACTCATTTTTAATAACTGATTTATTTTATCTTTGCCATGATAACAGTACATAATATTTGACTAGATATTTTTCAAGACATTTCTATACAGCTTAAAGTGACAT